TTAAATTTTCTGAGGCTGAGAGAAGTACAATAACACCCAAAATCCACATAACAGTGGTACCTTTATTGTTATCAGTGTTTTGTGGCTTTTGGATCTTACTGTACTTTACCACACGGGCATCATGGCTACCCCTGGATCTGAGGCTGAGAGAGTGTGACTTGCCTAAGGCCATGGCAACCTTCTGGGTAACCTTGGGCAAGTCACACTGTCTCAGCTTCAAAGGAAGGCACTGGCAAACTACCTTCTCTGAAGAAACTTGTCCCCCTCCAAAACAATAACAACATCCCTGTGACAGATTCACTCGAGGGTTGCAATAGGACTTGGAAGGCACACAACAACATAAGGTGTTTGGTGACCAGATGTTAAAACTGCAAAGGAGGACAAGGCACTGCAAAATGTAGGGCATTCAAGAAAAATGGGGGACATGACCCCCTAAAAAAGCCAAAAAATGAATTTATAAATGTATATTAATACTTAGTCATGCTCGAAATGGAGAGCATTTTGGAATTCCTCCTGGACAGGAAGGTTGAAATGTAGGACGTCTCCGGGGAAAGGAGGACGCCTGGTCACCCAAACAGCAACAACAACCCACCTCACATCCCATTTTGGGAGAAAGGCGGGATATAAACCCCATAAATAGATACAGAAAATTACATTTTAATTTGAATTGAATGCAGTTTCAGGTAAAAAGAATCAAACTGGCCCCCATTATAACAACAAAACAAAATTTTATTTTAAATATTCCGTCCTTCCTCCCTCCCTCAGTGAAGAAATACTTCCGGTGACAGGGAAAGCACTTCCGGGTCATGCAAAAGCTTCAGCTGGGGCTGCCCAGTTGGTGAGCGAAAGGTAAGAATTCTCTCCCTTCCTTTCTCATTCAATGGGTTTGGGGGATTCCGAGGACGGGGAGGAAAATGGGAATTAGGGCTACATCCACACTGCAGAAATAATCCAGTTTGAGACCGTTTTAACTGCCCTGGCTCAGTGCTGTGGAATTCTGGGGTTTGTAGTTTATTGTGGCGCCAGAGCTCTCTGACAGAGAAGGCTAAGTGTCTCACAAAACTCCCAGGGCTCCATAGCATTGAGCCAGGGCAGTTAAAGCGGTCTTAAACTGGATTATTTCTGCAGTGCGGATGCAGCCTGAGCAGTGATTGGTCGCCCAGAGGTGATGGTGGTTCCAGAGGTTAAGCTTACAGCCCATAAATGGGGATACACACTCCCCTTTACTTCATTGCTCATCCCATATTTGTAAGGAGAGATTTGTAAAAACAAAAGCAGGCATAGACTAAAATTTAGAACAGTCATATCCAAGGTTTGGTCCTCCAGATGTTTTTGGACTTCAGTTCCCAGAATTCCTGGCTGTTGGTCCAGCTGACTGGGGCTTCTGGGAATTGAAATACCTAGAGGACTAGATTCGAAGTAGAGATCTTGTAGTCCTTTGTGACTAACTGAAAGGAAGAAATTGCATTTGAGGAAGTGGACTTAAGTTCCAAAGTACACTGCAGAAATAATCCAGGTTGAGACTTGCTTTAACTGCCCTGGCTCAGGGCTAGGGAATGCTGGGAATTGTTTATTTTGCCACCAGAGCTCTCTGACAGAGAAGGCTAAATGTCTCACAAAACTACAGTTCCCAAAATTGCCTAGCATTGAGCCCAGGCAGTTAAAGCAGTCCCAAACTGGATTATTTCTGCAGTGTGTTCTGGACCTAAGTTTGGGACCTACTGATTTAGAAAATGAGCATGAGAAGAAAGAAAGAAGAAGAAAACCTAAGGCAGTGGCCCTTAAACATTTTCAGGCTACAGCCCTCTTTTCTCTTAAGCCGCCAACCCTTGCGCCCCCCCAACACTTATTTCTTGATATTAGGTCCACTATTCTTGCACACCAATACTTTGCCTAAAGGCCGCTCTGCTGCCCTCTTCTCCCTCACCACCCCCTGTATCTTTCTACTGCCCCCAAGTTTGGGAATCAGGTGTATCTACACTGTAGAAATAAGGCACTTTGACACCACTTTAAAGCTCTGTGGCTCCATCCTATGGCAACCTGAGATTTGTAGTTTTACATCGTCCGTAGCCTTCTCTGCCAAAACGTACTGGTGCCTCACAAAGCTACAAATCCCAGGATTCTGTAAGATGGAGGCATGGCAGTTAAAGTGGTGCCAAACCTCATTATTTTTACAGTGTAGATGCACCCCTAGTTATGCTGGGATGATTGGAAGGCATTTGGGGGTGAAAGGAGAATGTGTGGGACGGCTGC